AGGCCATAAATGTCTTACGTTACGTGGATTGCTTTTCTTTAAAAGCTTGAGTCCAAGCTGTAGTTGTCTGTGTTCTCTGTGATTTTTTTTCCTCAGCGTTCTGTAGTTCTCTTTGGAGAGAGATTTATTTCACCTCGCGGTTAAGTACGTTCCCAGGAGCTTTATTTCCTCTGTAACTATTGTGAATGATACTGAGTCTTTGATCTTTGGCGTGACTGTCTTTGGTTTGACTCCTGCCTCGGTACATAGAAATGATACAGAACTAAGTACATTGATTTTGCATCCTGAGATGTTGCTGAATTTATTTATTAATTCCAAGAGACCACTGGTGGCATGTTTAAGGTTTTCTATATACAAAATCATGTCATCAGTAAAGAGCAATAGTTTGACCTCCTCTTTCCTGATTCCCTCTACCCCTATTTTTTTTCTCTCGATCAATTGTTCTGGGTAGGCCTTCCAGCCTTATGTAGAACAGAACTGGTGACGGTGGGCATTCTTATCGTGTTCCACTTCTTAGGGGGAATGCTTTTCACTTTTCCCCATTCAGTTTGATGTTGGCTATGGGTCTGTCATATATGGCTTTTATTGTTTTGAGCTATGTTCCTTCTATGCCTAGTTTGTTGAGAGTTTTTAATCATGAAAAGGTGCTGGATTTTGATAAATGCTGTCCACAACTTATCCTGCCATTGTTAATATAATTTTTCATATTACACGGCTGGATACTGTCCAGACATCCTGGGTATAATTTATCTATATGCTCACATATAATATTATATATAAGCATCAAAAGTATACAAACCTTATGACAAGGGGAGAAAAGACAAGAAGAGGTGATAAAGGAGATAGTTATGATATTAATAACACTCCCCCGCCACCATTTCCTAAGAGCTTTCTCCATGGAAGCCCCCGCTCGTAGTACTTCTTCTAAGTACTAAGTTCTAAGTCATTTGGGTAGCTCGCTCAGAACCACAAAGCTAGATGGCAAGAGGGCTGCTTCCATGCAACCAAAGCAACTGTCCTCTAAAGCTGTGCTTTATTCAAAATATACTTATTGAAGGCATAATAGAGTCACCAGAGGTACTCCAAGCATCACTGGGAAATAGAAACTCAAAGAGCAGAAGAGAGGGGCAAGTACTTACTTGCTCGCTCACCCAGCAAGCATTTATTTACTGATTCCTTACAAGAGGGCAGGCACTGGAGATACAGGTATGGATAAAATGAAATCTCTGGCCTTTAAGAACTCCCAGTCTCATCTGCCCAGAATGCTGTTTCTTCCAATTGCTGACAGTTCTAGTTCTGGGAAGGTACACTGCTTGTAAGACGCTGGCCACAGGCATGACGTGGAACTTTGCCAGTAACTCCAGGCGTGGGGTCACCCTAAGTCTCCCCTCAGTAGTGCAAAGCCTGAAGGGCAGGAACCATCCCCCAAAACCCTCTCTGCCCCCTCTAGTTCATTTAAACTGACTTTTTGGGTCAGGAAATTTATTTCTGATGCTATCCTCACCTCACTCCCACAACACCAAGCATTTCAGATCAAGTATCTGTGAATCATAGGTCAGGCTGACTCATTTCTTAAAGTTTCCAGCTTATGAATGAAAACAGTATTGATGGCTTGTAGGATGATCGAATATAGGGAACGACAATGAGAATCTCCACATTTATCTACAACGATGCAAACCAAATCTGCAAGTATTTTATTAAAATAAGAAAGGCAGCTGCTAAAAACTTTACAGTGAGGGAGGTTTGGTAAATGAAAAGACCCACCACTCCCTTTTTTGTGAAACCGATTTACCATGTGTACCTTGCTGAAGATATTCTCTCCATTCACGGCATTGCTTTTTTTGTCTTATTTTTGTTAATGTGAAAAATAAGGATGGTGGGCTTTCAGAAACTCAGTTAAAGGTTCAAAGCCTGTAAAATTATGGTGTTTTCCATATAAAAAGGTGAAAGAGAAAGGAAGGAAACTTGGGTTGAGCATCTCGTTTCATCCCCTGACCACCAACAGGACAGGGAAGCAGAGGCGGGGAGAGGTTGGGCCACCTGCCCCAAGGAGCTTAGTGGCAAATAGCACCTTTGAGGCCTTGGGCCCCTTCTGTACAAATCTGCTCAGCCGGGAAACACTTAACCAAAGGGGTGTTCAGGAAGGGAAGCTCACAGTAGGGGCGAGAAACAAAGTGCTGGGACCAGGAACGGCAACCCCCCCAGACATTGCTGGGCCACGACTCCCACGCAGCTTCACACCCATTCACGTTGACCTTTCAACCTGCAGAACCGTGCTGTGTCTCCAGACTCATGTGCAACACCACCACGGTAAGAGGCCAGAAATCTTACCTCTATGGGAAAGCCTAACTGAGACCCTATGAAAATCTACCAGCATTTGAGTCAGATCAGGTGGCTTTTGTGGTCCTGAGCCTCAAAGTAGGGGAAGGCCCTTTTCCCTGAATTCAACCACTTGGTCTCAGGTCTCAGAGGAGAAAACATCACCTATGAATCATGGCAGCTTATAGCCTTCTCTGGGCCTCTCTCAGAACCTTCTGAAGGGCACGGCATGTGTCACCAGGAGCTGGGACAGCAGCACAATTCTGTGAAACAAGATTGCATAGGTTTTGGTGGTCTCTTTGGACAGCTTATCAAATCATGAGATGACCTATGCACGAGTGACAAGGCTCAGAAACGGCAGGTGCAGCAATCACAAGAGGGTGTGGCCTACATCTTTTAAATTCTGTTTCGGTGGATACCTAGCTAATTTGGAACCATAGTACTAGATGGAAGCCCAGATAAGGTAAGCGACTAGTCTAAGAACCCCAGGCAGTATTTGACAAAGTCAGGAGAACTCAGCATCTATAATTTCTTTCCCATCATCATATTGCCTTGTTCAGAATAAAAAGACCAAACTGGGGGTGGGGCAGGGGTGAACCACTTTTATTAGATGGCAAAGTGATAGGGAAGAAGGGACAAATCCAAAGTGCAGACAAGGCTGGGCAGTCATGGGCTCTTTGTGACATGGTCACAGCTCAGACCTCTGGGCTGGAGCTTTATCAGGAATTTTCTTTCTCCAACCCAACAGAGTGGAAAGTGAGCTAGAAGTGCATTCTTTACGCCAATCCCAGTGACACTGTGTAAGCCCTGTTATTTGGAGTCAAAGAGGCTCACTAAGTCCATTGTGCAGATGAGAAAAATAAGGTCCAGGGAGAGAAAAGGATCCCAGCTGGCTGTGGGCCATGCTGTGACTAAAGCCAAATCCCTTGCTCCCCTGTCTTGCAGAGTTCCCAGGACACAGTGCACTTCCCAGACTGTCAGGGTCCCGCTGGCAGCCCTTGGAGTTTTGCATAATTCTGTTTACTGACTTGGCAGAATCTCCCAGGCAGGTGGCTGATTTTGATGAAATCTATTGTAGCTACCAAAAGATAGCTGTGGCTAGGTGGGTTTCTCAACTTACACATGAGAAAGGATCTGGAAGTATAGTGAATGGGAAATCAGATTTAAAAAGTTATGTATTTGGACCAGATAAAAGTAATAAAACTATGTAGCAGTTAAAAAGAACAAGGTGCTAACGTGGCTAGCACTCCTTGATATATTGGTGAGCGAAAAAAGTAAACTGTGATATATTCTATCACAGGTCTGCAAAACAGTACTGTGTATGTGTGTGAGTGTGTGAGTGTGTACATAAACACACCACAACAGTGGTTCTCAACCCTACTGCCGCGAACCCTTAATACAGTCCAGAGGGGTCGCGACCCACAGGTTGAGAACCACTGCACTAGAAGGTCTGCAAGGATGTGATCCAAAATAACAAACGTGGCCTAAACAGAGTTTTATTATTTTAATGAGACAGAGTCTCACTTTGTTGCCCTTAGTAGCATGCTGTGGTGTCACAGCCCACAGCAACCTCAAACTCTTGGGCTCAAGTGATTCTCATGCCTCAGCCTCTAGAGTAGCTGAGACTACAGGCATTCTCAACAATGCCTGGCTAGTTTCTAGAAACGGGGTCTCACTCTGGCTCAGGTTGGTCTTGAACTCGTGAGCTTAAGCAATCCATCCACTTTGGCCTCCCAGAGTGCTAGGATTACAGATGTGAGCCACTATGCCTGGCCTTTGGTCTTTATTTTAAAATTTTGTATTATTCTAAAATAAATACATTCGTTTAATATATGTGTAATAAAAGATTAATTTTTCTTTTTATTTATTTACTTATTTATTTATTTTACAGTTTTTGGCCGGGGCTGGGTTTGAAATCGCCATCTTTGGCATATGGGGTCAGCACCCTACTCTTTTGAGCCACAGGAGCTATCCAAAAGATTGATTTTTAAAGAGACAATAGAGATAGAATTTTAATAATTCATCTGTCTATTCAGTAACTATGTGAACATCTATTATGCGGCAGGCATGAAACAAGGTGAAAAATCTAGCCCTCCCACAAGTGTTATGTTCTAATGCAGGGGGGGAGATTTACCTGCTTGATAAGCACAATGAGGTATGTTACAAGTACTTAGGTGAAAGAAGAAAACAGAGCCGAGTAGGAAAATAAAGAAAGGGATCCCCATATTTCACAGGAGATCCCAAACAGAGTCCCCAGTAAATCTTGCCAAGGCCAGCCATGTTGAAATAAAAGAATTATGACAATAGTTTGCCAGTGGACAAATCTTTGCCATTTTAAAGGAATATCCATGGCCTTTTGACTCCACTTGGGGTTCCTGAAGAAATATAATAATACAAAGGATAGTTTGAAGTTTACAGATATTTAACCGACCACAGACAGAGAGACAGGGCTTCGCTGCTTTTCAAAGGCACTGACTCTTTTGCTGCTTTAATCAGTACATATGGTTTACTCTGCTAGGCTAGAAATGGCCTCCGCCAAAAACGGCTGTGTTGAGTTGGGTTTCTAAAAATAATTCAGGGAAGCCTGCAGTGTGAGGAGAAGATGGTCGCACACGGCTCCAGGGAGGGAAATCTGAAGCATTAGATTTGAATTACCTAAGAGCTGAAATTGAGTGCAAATATCTCCTTGTGGAAACTGCTATATAATTAGCCATCCTAATGGGATCTTTTCAAAACCAAGGCAGTTCAACAAGTAAGTTTAATTGAAAATAAAATTTCCAGACCAACTATTCTGTCAAATGTGCATTAAATGAAGATGGCTCAGCAGTGACCAAATCACGGGTAAATGCATCACACGTTATGAGAGGAAGGGGATGTGCTGTCCTCTGTGGGGGGAATGTGCCAATTTTCAGGGCTCCTTTTTCCAGTTTGATGTGTCTTCTGTCCTCTCAGATAAAGTATTCCATTTTCTCGGTGTCAGTGTTAGTGCTGGGACTATCTCCTGAGTCGAGAGCAACTCAGTCCCCTGAAAAGAAGAAGCCTGGATTAAAATCTCAGAGATAAGGCAGGAGGGGAAGGGAAAATGACACGTGCTCTCCACTCCTACCAGCACAAGGACACGTTTCATTCCAGGAGGACCACATTGATCCATCAGCTCGCAGAGGGGACTACTGTGTCCTCGAACTGTCTTTAGAACTTGGGTTTTCACTGGTGCTACTTCTCAGGGGGCCAAGTTACGTAACTTCTCTGAGCAACAGTTTTCTCATCTGAAAAGACAGAAAATAAAAGGACTGTTAGTACCACACCTCCCAGGATGGTCAGGAGGATTAACGTGTGTATGATCAGTCTGGGGCTCCAAATGGGTAGTACTCCCGGGAGGGGTGAGCAGGGGAGGGGAGGAGGCCCAGGTCCGACCTTGTCAGTCAAAAGGGGTTGGTGTGAGAGGACCTGCAGAATCAGTATCACCTGGAAGCCCTGTACTAGGGTAGCAGCTCGGCCTCACACGGAAAAATTGACCTAGAGTCTGCATTCAACCAGTGCTCCTGGAGACTTGTCTGTGGCTCAAATTTGAGTCTTGCTGGCCTGGGCCATCTGTCAGGTGTGCGATTCTACATTGAGTGACATGTGTTAAAGAGAAAGTAAGAAAGGAAAGAAGGTAGAGAGGGAAGGAAGGAGAGAGCCATTTAAATTCAAATAAGAAAAGTAGAAGACAGTTGAGGCACCAGTTATTCAGGGTCAGGTTCAAAAGCCCTCCCAAGGAAAGCTAGGCCTTGAAACCTTCTTTTTTGCTTAAAGCCAGACTGCGTAGCTTGTGATCCTTCATTCAGACCAAGCACGTGGCCCCTCTTTCCCAACACTGGGCCCTTGTCTGAAAAAGCTCAAGTGGCACTGAGGGAATGTCTCATGTGATGAGAGCTACCCTCTGCATTTCCCCCAAAGCAAACAGACCCCACAGTCAACTGACCTCCTAAAAATCCCAGCAGTGCCCGCCTCTAGTGCGTTAAGCTCATTTAAGAAAGGAAACATCTCTTCCAGAAGATGCAGAAACCCTAATTTCCTGAGCCTTCTGATGACCAAAATGGAGATGGGGAATATGACTCTTAATACTCATGAAACCCCAATTCTGGAATAAGAAACACCAACTATACTCAGCTTATAAGGCACTTTAAAAATCCTTACTTGGAAGAAATACAATAAAAGCCTGACTTTAAAGACAAGGAGGCCAACTCTCAGCAAGGCATAGTGGTGGAATCAGGGACCAAGCGCTGAACCTTCCCCACTGAGCGTGAACCCCATCTTCTAGGCTCAGGATCCCAGTGACCCTAGCCACTTCCAGACATGACCTGGGAAGCACCACACTGTGTCTTTGTGGTTGGTGGTTAGAAACTCTTTCTTTATAGAAAGCATCTTCAGCTGAAAATTTCATCTCCTGATGTGGCGAGTGATGGTGGTGCTCCATTGGGCCACTACACCTGTATGCCGAGGAGGCTTCCTTGGATGCCTGAGAGCCCAGCTTTACGGGCAGAAACTCCTGGGTTCAAGTCCTGGCCCTGCTTCTCGGAACTACCTGGTATTTTGTAAATCAACCCCTCTGAGAGACCTGGTTTCTTCATTTTTTAAAATGTCAACAGCAGCAGATGATACACAGTGAGTGTCATTCTAAGCATTTTTTGTTAACTCATTGAATGCTTGTAACATACTATTATTATTGTTGTTATTATTACTTTGTTGCCCTCAGTAGAGTGTTGTGGCATCACAGCTTAGGCGATTCTCTTGCCTCAGCCTCCCAAGTAGCCGGGACTACAGGCACCTGCTACAACGCTTGGTTATATTTCTGTTATTGCAGTTTGGCTGAGGCCTGGTTTAAACCTGCCACCCTCGGTACATGGGGCCGGCATCCTACTCACTGAGCCACAGGCACCGCCTGTAACATACTTTTATTATTTTTGGTGTACACATGAGGAGCTAAGGCATAAAAGCAAATGAATCGGGGCTACAGAGCTGATAAACGTCAGAAGCAGTATTCTACAGTTTCATGGGGGCCTGTGTTGGGACCATACGGAAGAACTGCTCTCAGACAGCTACCAAGAGAATCCTTCGAAGCCCAGGGAGGCTTCCTGGGCCACCCAGTAAGAAGTAAGTGCTCAATAAATTATAATGATAAGGTGTCATTTAAAAATTAAAGCCAGAAACACACAGGTTGCCGTAGCTTCCACATGGCTAAGAGCAAGTCAGTGAGTGTGGCAGTCCTACCCTTGAGAGGGGTTCATTCCTCTTGTCTTCAGTGGGCATGTTGCCTTGGAACCATGGCACAGAGCAGGAACTTTGGTGCTCTGCCCTCTCTACCAGGGATTCTACTTGTAAACCTCTAAGGAGGCAGCTGGAGTGTGAGTGGGGCCGACTTCTGGTCGGAAAAAGAAAAAGGTTATTTCCAACATGAGTTGGACAGATCCAATTTTCAAGACAAAGAACATGTGTGAGTTGACTCACTGCTTCTGAAATGCTCTGCCAATGGGTAATCAAACAGTGTTGGGGATAGATCCCTTGTACAGAAGAGGTAGTATTTAAAACATTGGCAAAACCAGAATGCCAGTGTGGAAGGGAGCCACTGCTCTCTTCTTTGTCAAAATATCCCTAGTTCTAACCTGGGCATGGTGGCTCATACTCATAATCTTAGCACTCTGGGAGGTGTGTGAGCTCAGGAGTTCAAGACCAGCTTGAGCAAGAGTGAGACCCTATCTCTACTAAAAACAACAAAACTAGCCAGGCATGGTGGCAGGCACCGATGGTCCCAGCTACTTGGGAGGCTGAGGCAAGAGGATCATTTGAGCCCAAAGAGTTTGAGGTTGCTATGAGCTATGATGCCATAGAACTCTACGCAGAGTGACAGACTCTTTCTCAAAGAAAAAAAATTCCTAGTTCTGTTTAGGTACACAGCAAATAGTAATGTGCTCAAAACAAGTCCATGGTGGGGCAGAATTGGCCCTGGCCAAAAACAGCAATGGCAAATCTGTGATCTCTGTTGAGCACTGGCTGGGAAGACACTTTGCCCAGTTCAGCCAGTGAGACACAAGAAGTCTCCTGGGGATTTCTGGGGAAATTTTCTTTTCCCTAATAGGAGATAGTGGCAGTAAAGGGCCCCCCTTTCCCTCCTGATGCTTCTTCCTGCTCAAAATGCTCTTATGACGAAGTGATGTCTACAGCAAAAAAAAAAAAAAAAAAAAAAGAAAAAGAGCATCACAGAGACACTGAGCCAGTGCCCTGACATGGTTGAGCTATCAAATGCATCCTTTCTGGTGCATCTGCTAATACCAGGTGCTGGTGGGGACAAAGGGAAACAGAAACCCCTGCACGCCGTTGGTGGAAGTGCAGATTGGTACAGTCATTCTGGAAAACAATCTGGCAGGACTTGTGAAATTAAAATGAGTGTGAGCTATGACTCATCCACGCTGGGTAGATCCACAGCAGAGAAACTCTCCCACAGTCCCATAGCACAGGTGTGAGGGGTGCATCACACCTCGCGTCCCCCAGCAGGGCACAGAGGCATCCAGGCATAGGGCAGGACCTATGGCAAAGGACAAAGTACAGATGAACCAGGAGTCCATGCAGCACCAAGAATTCACCTAAAAGTGATAGTGTTGAGTAAGACACAAAACCAGATTGAGATCTATGCAGAATCCCATTTATCTAAATTAAAACTAGAAACCCCATCAGGACAAGACAGGAGTCAATAAGGGCAGGGCGTGGAGTAAACACAGTGCAGTGCTAAGGATAGGAGTGAGGGGGATGGGAGCAAAAGAAGGGGGCGGGCTGCAGAGACCACTGGTAATGTGCCTGGAACTATCAGGGCCTTCCCAATAAAATTTGAAAGTGAAAACACAATCAGATTTGGAGTCAGAAAGCCCACGTGTGAATGTTCCCATGGTTCTTACTGCAGCTCTTTGGTAAGTAACCTAATGGAGCTTCAGTTTCTGTATCATAAAAAGCAGCCATGCAGACCAGCCTGCAGACCTGTCCTGGGAGCATCAAGGAGACAGTGAGCAGAGATTCTGTGTGTGGATGGCAACAGCCATGAGCCTTAAGGACTCAGTTTTCTCCTCTATATAATGTGGATTATTATATTACCTCCCTAGCACAGTTACGGTGAGGCTTCAATGAGGCCTGGCCCACCCAGGATAAAAACCAGGGTCCTAACACCTGAGAGCACCACTGTCCTCAGCTCTGCAGGCAACAGCAATGCCCCCTGCCATGCCGGGTAGGGCTGTCCTCTGGTGACACCACTCCACAAGGCTCCTACACATTCATGGATATATTTCCTTTTCTTGTGCGCCAATAACGAACTTTTAACTGAATGAGGCACGTTACAAAAAAGAGAAGAGATGAGAGGGTGAAACAGAGAAGAAACCGCTGTCTCCTGCCATTCCAAGTAGGTAAAAGCTTCTTCATTTTTCCAATGAAGAGCTTTTCTTGTTATACAGATCATCATAATTCCAGGAAGGATGTGATGACTTCTGAAATTGTCACATCACAAGTGTCACCGCTCTCTTAAGCTGCTACCTCCTTTCCGTGATGGCCCGTCAGATGTCTGGGAAAACTTCTGTGGAGCAGAATGACCACATACTCCTGGGGTCGATTTTGTTTCTAATTTCACCCCTAAATGCATCCAGGCACAAGAAAGCCCTTCACACACCCACCTTCTCTTTTTCTGGAATGCATCTTCTAAATAAACTCCCTCAGTAAGAGTACAAGGTCAAAGTGAGATTTTCATACCTCTCAACAAATTGGAAGTGTTGCTTCCAGAGACTAATTTACATGGCCAGCAGCAATGGGAGCATATGCCAGGCTCCCACAAATTCTTAGAATTAAACTCCAAAACCTATCATTCTAATTTTTAGCAACTCGCTGATAAAGAGACACCATGGCTGCCCTGTTCTGGTGGGCAGCACCACAACTCCCAGTGACCCTGAGTTCACTGACATGTTATTTTCTCCTTATGAGATCCCACACCTTGTCAATGAGGTTTTTCTGATTATAAGGAGACCTCTTTCACAAGGCAGGCCTAAGGAGTGGAATAAGGACAAACTCTAGGAGGAGAGAAAAGTAGCCTAAAGCCTTCTGAGAAAGAAGGAAAAAGAAAGGAATAATAAATGGGAATGTTTGCATGAAAAACCGCAAAAAATAAAAATTCACATCCGCTCAGAACACATCTGTATAAAATGTGTGCACACGTGAGGAGATGGAAGGTAAGGGGACATGCAAGGACAGA